CAGAGAAGAGTGCTTTTAATAAATGTAAAAATGGCCTGCCATAGCCAACTCCTATTAACCTACGCACTCGAGCAATAACCTTCTCCTTAGCCACCTCCCTCTCCTTTGTAGCTGTAGAATTGTTTCTCTGTCTTTTGAACACATTCTCCTTTTTTTATTTTCGTTTCTGCATTAAAATCTCCAGAGAGATGAAATAGGCCCTTCCTGTTGCCTACTGTCATGGTTTTTCATACTTTTTGGACCTAGTTAAAAATAATTTGACTAATTGATAGCAGCTGTTGGGAAGACAAACACTGAAGAGCTGACAATGTTTGGCTAAATCTATTTAGAGTTACGGATTTGAATATAAATTTGTTAAACCTGCTTCATGAAACGGACCCCAGATGAAGCTACTAGAATAAGCAGCAGAGAGCTTAAAATTAGAGGCTGACCTAACAAATAGTGCAGGATGGGAGGATAGAGGTAAGATTTGGCACAGTTTATAAAAGTGGTCCCCATGTTCTTCAGCATCCTAAGCTTATAACAGCACAACTATAGAGGTAGCTCAATTCATTTCAGTTTATTTATATAGCACCATTGACAACACATCTCATGCCAAGGCACTTCGCAATTCAACCAGATCATACCATCAAATTGATTCAAAGTTTTCTCTCTAAGGAAAACCAGTTGATTGCATTGACTAAATAACTCGAAGGCAGTCGCCCACAGGATAACCTGAGTCACTAAAATTATTAGGTTTCTTTTTCCAGGAAGTCTTTGCAAAGCAGCTTGAAAATAATCTTTTTGGGGATATATTGTCATAGAATCTTTTGGGAATTAAACTATAAACCACTGATTTGTGATTTTCCAAATATATATATCAGACTCCATCTTTGAGAACATGGTGTAACAGCAAAGTACTTATTAAGCCTGTTGGTTTAGTGGTTAAGCAGTGGGATAGAATTTCTTTCGTTGAGTTCAAAACTCAAATACAATATATTAGATTTTTTTTTCTTCCTATAGTTTTACTCAGATTAATATAAATTCTTTGATTCTGACACACGTCAATCTGCAGTGATGCACAAAATATTATGGTGTCAGGAAACTCAATTATTTAAACATAAGAACATTTTGTTAAACATTTGCATACATCTTACACGCTTTTCAAATTATTTTTTCTCAGCTTTTTAAGGAAACAAACTGGTTTTATTTTAATCTTTGTCCTCCTGACAGTCATACTAGTTTCAACCCGTGTCTGATGCCGCAGAACAAAGCAACGATAAAAATCATAAATCCCTCTGAAGGACTGCTTTACCAGGTGGAACTTGTTGGCTGGCTTGAAAGCGGTTTGCGGTTTTGATCTTTATCATTGTGCTTCAGACTTAATGGGACAAAGTTTAATAGTTCTATGGAGTAATAAGTCATAACTGGGGATCTCCATATAACATGCTGCTGCCTACCATTATTGGGGTCTTCTCTGTTCTGAATCCATCGCTTCGCAGCAGTTTACCTAAACACGTCCTTATGCCCTAAGGTATATTTGACTGACATTTTTAATAGAGAGAATTTGTATCATTAACAGTACTGATTAGAGAATAACCCACCTGTCTACAGCGAGCGCTGGTTCAGTCATCACATACATACATACATACATATACACACACACACACACACACACAACCACCCACGTTAGAATCAAGGCTTAATTTGCTTACAAGCGATCTGTTTTTGTTTTGTTTTTTTTGAACATGTATGATGTCAAAAGTCATATGCAGAATGAACTTGTGTTGCTTTGACCAATTGCAGAATAATCACTGCAGTCCGTTCTTTGGAGTTTCAAACATCGAAAGCTGAAGAAAGATCAACACAACTTTCAGGTTCTCATCAGGTTATATATTTTTCATCACATATGTGATGTGCGATTCAGTTTATTATTAATGAGTGTGGAGGGGGAGCCGGTTAATGAATCCAGAGACTGACCAAACACAGTCATGAAATTTTTATCTACTCTTCACTTGCCAGACCTTTCTAGTTAAACTTTATTTGTACTTTAATGCAGAAACGTGAGAATGTAGCTCATATAAAGCAGTTTTCTTAACTAAAATCATGTACAATTTCTACAAAAATAAATGGATTTGACATTTTGTTGTTGCATTTTTTTGCTATATTTGTGTTGCCTCATTTCTAAAACACTGGTGTAACATAAAAAGCGGGATAAATGGGCATAAACCCATTTAGTATTCTTTTATGATTTTTTTCTATTTTCCTTAAAGGAATAGTACACCCAAAACATGATTAGCCTTCATTTTAGAAAATGAAGGCTAATCATGTTTTGGGTGTACTATTCCTTTAATCAGAGACTATGTAGTTTGTCTAAAAATATAACTGTGTAAATCATTCCTCATGTCTGTGATTTTGGAATATTTGTGGAAATACAACTTTAAAGTGAAAAGAGCTGCCTATAAAGTACCATATACTACTTTTCTTAAGAGTAGAAAATGTTTTTCTTCAAATAGTAATCACCAAGTTCTTTACTACATGTTCAATAAAGATCAAGCACAATATCTGTATCTAGGGGGGAAATGTCACAACAGTTGCTTGTTTGTTCATTAGAAAAACATGCTAGATCTAATTACTGTCAGTGGGCGACTGACTCCTGTAAACGAATCAGCCGCCCACTGTTAGATGGTCGTTGGCTAGCTGATATATGATTATTGCCTTCACTTTGCCATATCATCCTCGTCGTCGTTATCACTTACGTGCTGTAATGACCAACAGCAATGAAATGGAACAGGCCATTCAGCATTACTACAGCACTGAAGAGGTACTTTAAAGTATGATTTAGGATATACTCATCTGATGCTAAATAAACCCAGATGTACAGACATATCTTTTTCTGGGTATGGTTGTCATACACTGACATAACTTGCAATAAAATACACTCTAAATCCCCTTTTACCGTTGTAGTAATATCCTCCCTCACTGTTCTCAGACCTCTGATGTTTAGATTAAATTTCTGGGTCACAGAAGCTTCCGCCTCCCTCATGAATTTTCAGTTTTGTTTGTCCGTGATTAGTGTTAGATGATTTCCTGGGCTGAGAGATACCAAGCATACACAATGGTACAAAACTGACACATGCTTTAAATTGTGTTTATCTAAAAATATTCACTATTGATTAAACAGCTTTCTGGCTGTTAGACCATGTGTCAGAGTGGACAATTTTGAGAAGAACCCTATATCTTTTGGTAAACACTGTTGAAGAAAAAAACAAACATTCATTAACATCCTGTTTACTAAGATTTAAATAAAAAAAAGTGTAAAAAAAAAATGCATATGAATTTCCTGCAGTTTTGATGTTTTCTTTAAGTAAAATCAATGTACAAACCGAAGTGAAAACGGTAAATCAAGATGTGCTATACTTTCTGCAAAAGTAGGTTAATTTACACCAACCTGGCCCGATTACTTCCAGATCTGTACAATCAAAACATCCCTTAAAAATAACCTTTTGACAAGTAGGTTATAAATTGCAAGGTCTAGATCTAAAACTTTACGAGAAAGCGATTCTCTTACTTTCTCTAAGGTCTCCAGCAAACCTTAGAGAGAGCCATTACTCACAAATGGAAAAGTCATGGAAAGTTGATTAACCTTCCAAGAAGTAGCCTTGAGAGTAGTCAGTCTACCAAAGTTAGTCAAAGAGCACCTGGACAAGGTGGTCACAAAAGACCCAGAGCAACATCAAAGCACTTCAGATCTTATTTGCCTCATGAAAAAAGAAATCACCATTTATGAACACATAATTACAGACTGGACAAGAATAGCATACCAAGAAAAACACCAAGGCCTGTCTCTTGTGCTTCTAAAATGTAAACAATTCTGCATATTGCTGCCGAATAAAAAACTAAAAATCTGCAAATACAGAGCAAATATCAAAAGCTTACCTGTCAGTCCATATCTGAATAGAAGGTTTTAGATTGGACAGTCTTGACCGATCAAGGTATTTTGGTGTAACCAGTTTACAGGTTAAAATTGTAAGCACTCTTTCTCTTTAAAGCTATTTGCATTTAACTATATCTAAACTTAGAACGTATAATGACAATATCTGGGGTTTAAAAAGTTCAGTTTCTGCACTTTGAAATCAAGTTATTCCAAAAACTACAAATTTAGGTCCGATTGATAATATTGTCCTGCTTTACACACTGATGCATTATCTAGCAGATTTGATAAGTACCTTGAATCAGTCATTTCTCTGTACTGCATTCATAAAATTGTAATGTCTTTGTTATTGTGACTACTAAAAAGGTCCAGAATCAAGGGGCCAAAGAGAGAAACACAACTTAGGAAGGGCACACTTCTCTAAAATATCTGTTTAACAGCAGCTGTGTATGGTGGATTTTATCACAGAGAGCAGCACTCAAGTTTCAGGCAAATAAGACCTTGCCAACCAGTAAAGCCTATTCTCATGGGAAAGATTAAAACCAAAAGCAACATTCCACAATATTATATCCAGGACAAATACAAAAGCCATTGACGGGTAGACAGCATCCCTGAGGAATGCATACATCTAATTTTCAAAAGATAATTAGTTAAAAAAGTAAACAAAAAAACTTAAGGTAAACTCCAGATGATAAGTTTCTTACCTGGCCTAAGCAGAAAATGTAGAAGACTGTTTTTCAGTGGTCCAAAGTCATCTTTTAGGATGAGGTTCAGAGAGCCTGGAGGCAGTATGGAGGTGCACAGAATGCAAAACGCATGAGGTCTATTGAGAACTTTCTGAAGTAAATGAGAAAAAAGGGGGCCATCTTATCTGCTGGTGTTGGTCCAATGTGTCGAACATCCACTGGTGCGACCCCGCTGAGCTAGAGTAACAGGCTTCTGAAGACCAGTATTCTAATTATTCATATTGGAGACAAGAAAAAATGTTTCCACGACAGACATCTTGAATAAAGAATTTGCTACACCACACGTGTTACAAATAGTTTTACATTTTATTAATATATTTTCATAAAACAAGTTTAAGACTGTATCAAAAACTCAGTAAAAACATTAGATTTTTTTATCTATTTTTCTAATGATATGAAATGTACATAATTCACATAATGTCATGGTATCTTTGTTCCCCCTCATGTTAAGATAATGCTTCATTTTTTTATTTTTTTTTTTCATTTTCCATGTGACGGGCATGTAAACAATCTTTTCTACCCTCAAACTATAAAGTTTTTTTGTTGCTTTTTTTCTTCAAATGACTGTGATCAAAAATCTAGACATACAATTGAAAAACAACATTCCCCACTAGGGGCCCCATCAGTTCCCAGCTAGGTTTACTGATAAAACATCAACATTATGGAGTTGTTCTGTTTCACAGGCACACAAATATGTACATCCCCTTTTACCCAGTGCCTCATCTGAACCGACAACAGGCACTGAACTTGTAGTGCACCCCCTGGAGGCAGAGCTGTGGTATTACAGTACTCCATGCCTACCCACCCACCCATCACAGCTATAAAAAAATAAAAAATGAAAGACAATGGATCCACTTCACTGACAGATTTTCTGCCTGCTGTGAATAACAGCATTCCAATGGCCCCTTTGTTATTGTTTTAGCAACCCCATAAAAAGTGCACTGTGACCACAGACATCACCTTGGCAACGGCAAACCTAGTCATCTCCCGGGCAGCTTTAGTGGAACACATTAAACAGAGGAAAAATAAATCAGATCTAAGCTACATCTACAACAGGCATGATCAAAGTTATGACCTTTGTGGTCAAGTGCCAGAGGAAACTCTGACATATGGCAAGTTAAAGGATCCAAACTTCTTGCACCTTCTTTCAGTTCTGCTCAAGACGCAATGCAAGGTTTAACAAGAATTTGCATAAGTGCACTGGTTGCATGTTATTATCCAGAGGGAGCAACAAAATAAAACAGGGAAGATCGATATTTGACAAACAAATTAATTTAAATGGATTAAAAAAAAAAATGCATCATGCGTTCAATTTGCCATTTTACTTTTCATCCCCTCAAGAAATAACAAGTGCAAAGTCTTACTAAACCTAGCTGAAGGGCAGATAAGAATGATTTAGAACTCATAAAGATTAACATCGGGAGAGAGAAAGCCTTGAGTCTGCTGTCATGGTGACATCTCCACAAAAGCCCCAAGGGACCTCAGTCTTTCCTGCTGCTTTATTATTTTTCTATACAATAGAAATAGAAGATCATTGAAGATAAAACCAACTCTTCTTGGGAAAAAAAAAAAAAAAAAAAAAAATAAGATGCAATAAGTCAAAAGCAGATCTGAAGTACAGGAAAAGAAATGACAAACTGTTCTTCTATTCTTCCAGTGACAGTAGCAAAATGTTTTATTCATGATGGTCAGATATATGCTGTTGCTTGCTCTTCTATAAAGTCAAAGCCAGTGCATTGAACACAAGTTAAAGTACTCCTGTTGCAGTGTCTGAGAAGCATCCCTAAAGTGGACCAGCTTTTGAAACGGAAAGCTCAGCTGTGCGTTAGGGAGGTACATAGGGGGGTGGTGACCTGTAGGATGTCATGTTCTTGGGGCGTGAACCTTTTCCTTCAATGGGAACGGTAAAAGGGGGCGGAGGTTGATAAGGTGGAGCATTGGGATCGTCATCCTGATAAACTGAATACTCCTCCAACAGATCCTGGTTGAGTAGGGTACTGTGGGGGCCAGCCATGTTTGGGTACTCAGGGGGAGGAAGGGGGGGCTTTTCTTCTTGCAGGATAAGAGGAATGCTAGAGGATGGCGGAGACTTGGAATCATCCAATTCATCAGCAAATATTATAGGAACTCCCTTCTTTATGAAGGTGGCTTGCTCCTCTATTGTCATTTTACCTTTGCGTTTCTTACGGTAGCAGACCATTGCAATAATCCCAGCTATAAGCAACAAGGCTGCAACCACAACAGCAGGGATGACTGTGTGCAGGTAAACATCATCTCTTCTTCCTTGACTTGTCCCAGGGGATGGCGTGGCTGTCGGAAGGGCAGGCATTGGCACCTCTCCAGGTGGAATGAATGTGTAGGCTTGGCATTTATTGGTTCCACGAACCGATATGTTTATGGGTTTAAATTCAGGCTCCATTGCCTTAATGAAGGCTGGCGTGGGTGTGCCTTGGTGATCTGAGATTCTTTTGCTGAGTGCTATGATCTGTTCTTTTGGACAGGGATTTTGCTGAAGGCTGTTGTTGGTCCATTCAACCACAATGGATCCTTTAGTGATGCTCCTCAGGGTCACCCTGCTGGTGTTTCGGTCACCAAGGGCATCAGCCAGTTTCTTAGTCAAAAGAATCTTATTGTGGACATTTTCCCTCAACATTTTGGGATCACCATGAAAACGAGCAGTAAACACAACTGATGGTTTATCATTAGTAGCCCAGCGGTTGACTCGCACCTCAAATGCATCCATAATGCTTTTTCCACCCTTATCTGTGGCCAACATGAAGTATACATAATTCCCTGCATGTTCCTCATCTGGAAGGCCGTACAAAAGCTGAATACTGCTGTTGAACTGAATCCATGAAGTTTCATTCACAGCTTCCTTGGGGCTCTGCTTCAGAGTCAAACGTAACTTGTCAGTGGTACCATCCTCTTGGTCATAAAATGCATCAGAGGCAATTTTAACCTCAAAGTATGTGCCAACCCATGCTGTGACCTGATCGATGGGGTTGCGGATTTCTGGAGTTTTATTCAAGTCTGGGGCCAAAGAAAGAGGGGTTGTGCGTCTAGGTGGTTTAGGAGTAGTGGACTTTGGTTCCCTCGGAGCAGGGGTGGAAGTTTTGGGTTTCTTGGGTTTCTTTGTGGTTTTTGGTCTTTTGGTGGTGCCTGGTGGCGTCGGTGAAGCAGTGGGTCCCAAAATTGTAGGTCGAGTCATGGTAGGCATGATGGGAATAGTACTCGTAGTTCCCAATACTCTGGTTGGTTGAGGAGGTCCAAAGATGGGTGTATGAGCTATCTGATCTCTGACCCTCAATGTGGGCTTCACTGGTAAGGGCAAAGGCCCCCGGACAGGGGGCGCAGAGTTGTCTGTTGCTGGTGCAATAGAAGGGGAAGTTGGGGTAGGAACAACACGAGAAAGAGGCTCTTGGTTGATAGTTGGAGGAAGCAGTGATGGCACTGGAGTTGGAGTGTTATACAACTGCCTTCTGATCCTTTTCACTAGATGGGGCTTTTTGTTGACAATATGCCAACCAACCACTGGGTAACCCAACCTGGCTGACATCGTCCCATCTTTTGCCGATGACTGCACACTGCTAATGTCGGGGATATTGGTCTGATCAAGAGCACAGCCCACTTTCCATGAAAGCAGGGCTCCATTCTCCACCACTTTCTTTGCATTTCCTGGTCCAGCCATGAAGGCAGACATGTCAAACAGGCGATTGTTTACAACAGGGACCACCCTCATGTGCTCCAGAGGGACATGTGAGAACTTTCTCATAAGTCCTAATAAGCTGACCCTCTGTTCAGCAACCATCTTTGTCAAATCAGCATCCAGAATGACAGTAAGAACTGTGACAGGCTCCTCTGAGCCACAGGTAAAAGGCTGCAGGCCACTGATATCAGACTGGAGAGTGAGCAGAGCCGGCTCAGTGTCAGCCCGCTCTTCTGGGTAGACTTCAATGGTGAAGACTGTACTGGGATACACTTGGCTACTTGTTCCTTCAGTTATCTGTTCTCCTGACACCAAGATATGATATACACCTTTATCGTGCTCTAGAGCCAATCCTCTCAGAGTGCAGCTCTCTTTATGCCAGTGTAGCCAGGAGGGTAAGGTCTCTTTTCCCATCTCAGTGATCTTAGAGAAAAGAAGAAAGATGTATGTTAGCATTTTATACATGATGGATATGGTATTCCTGAAATTTATCCGAACAAAAATGTAAGTTATTGGTAGCCTAAAATTATCTTATGTTACTTTTGATTCAATAAAGTAGTTACAAACAACTATGGATTAAGTTGAGGGAAAAAAAAAAAACAATTATATAGAAAAAAGGATTTAACTTCAAATGGAAAATATATATGTGTGCATGTATATATATATTAGGGGTGAAACGGTTCAAAAAATCCACGGTCCGGTTCGGTTCACGGTTTCGTGGTCCAAAAAATTTTTTTTTATGAAACTAATGAAAAAAATCAAAAAAATTAATGAATTGTAATTATTTTTAAAGAGAACCATGGATCATTTCCGCATGTTTTTGCTGCTTTGAATTTAATAATTTCGAGCATGCCCTCTACGATCTCCAAAGAACTCATAGCGGAGCGGACAGGAGCCACAGCGGAGGCTGTATGCTTTGCTTTGTGCAGGCGGTCTGGAGCACAGCGGGTGCATGTGGGGAGTATGTGGGATTTCGGGGTTAGCATGACATGTTGGTCATGTTGCTGTTACCATAAACAAAACGTGTTGCACAATGTTTGTACACTGTTGCACTTTTATCCACAACTTTCTTTCCGCCGTCATCGTAGGTCACTCTAAATGCAAAGTGGTCCCATACAGCCATACAATTCTCCACAACTGATTTTTTTCTGCTACATCCGGCTATGCTGCTTTGCTTCTTCTTCTTCTTGTTTACTACTGGTGGTTGGCTTTGGTCGCAGTACCGCCACCTTCTGCTCTGGAGTATAAACGCTTCGCCTATGAGAAAAAGGAGCAGCGCATGAACCGAACAAAGCACATGCGAACCGAACCGAGACAGTCGAAACGAACGGTTCTGACGGTTTTCATAAACCATTTATGAAAACCGTCCGAACCGTTCGGTTCGACTGTCTCGGTTCAGTTCGCATGTGTTGCGTTCGGTTCATGCGCTGCTCCATTTTCTCATAGGCGAAGCGTGTACTCCACTGTGGCTTCGTCCGCTCCCCTCTCTCTCCCTTGGAGATGGTAGAGAGTATGCGCAAGATGATTAAATTCAAAGCAGCAACACATACAGAAATGATCCAGGGTTTCCGCGGATCATTTAAAATAATTACAATCCATTATTTTTGGGGGGATTTTTTCATTAATTACATAAATTTTTATGGGATTTCGGTGTAACAATCAACATGTATCGAACTGAACCGAAAACCGTGACCAGAAACCGTGAATCGAACCGAACCGTGGATTTTGTGAACCGTTCCACCCCTAATATATATATATATATTTATTATGTTTGCGAGGACTATACCTCTTTTTTTTTAAATTATCTTTCATATATCCAAGATGGGTGTCCAAACGTTTTAGGAGGGTTAGGAAAAAAAACTGGTAGAGCCTATTTATTTGAATTTCTTGGTTTTATGTTGTGTCATTATTAATAGATATGCAGCTGGTCTTTCATCTTAAAGAAGTGACAGCCCTAGCGCAGTGTTTCTGTTTTGATTTTTCTTTTTTTTTTATATAAATCTGTAGCTTAACATTTGTTTGTTCATTTGTGTGGCAAACATCCTGGGCGGATCATTTCTATCCACTCAAACCTATACCAGGTTACACGGGAAAATTTATTTCTGTGGTGCATTCACACTGAATGCAGCCCCTGTGAAAAATGTGCCGGTTTCTTGTAATTTTGCTCAACTGACATATTGCCAGAAATTGGACTGGCCAGCGAAACCAATTCATACTGGTGTTGAATTGCCATGGTGGGTGAAAGGCTCCACCACGTCATCAAGTCTGCTGGTTGTCAGTTCACCTCAACATGAACTTTATGAAGCAATTCTGAATTAACTTTGGGAATTTAATACAGTGTCCAGCAGATCCTCTAGAAATATTCTAAGGATAGGAAGTCCAGGAATGGCCAAATCAAGGCTGCTCTACGTGGAGCAGAGAGCACCAAAGTGGGGAGAGGCAGGAGGATGACGAGCACTCCCTCTAGAGCTAAATTAAAACTGCTCTTTTGAAAGCTACATGCAAACCTTTAAGGACTATTCACTTCTTCACCCTTTGTCAATATTCTTTTCTACATAAATCCATTCTGATTGAAAGCTAATCCCCGCTGCGTTTCTCTACAGTGGGTCACAGCCAGATCCAGTTCCCGACTGTTTTTTTGCTATGTAAATAATAACAAAAGTTTGGATTGTTTAACCGCCTTACAGCACCCCAAAGCTGCCCTCTACATGGGGATAACCTCTAAATCATACTCTCCAGCTGCAAAATTTACATTTGGTGTGAGCACAAGCTTAAACTGAGAAAAAAGTTTAACATAATGGCTAAATCATCATAGTCATAATAATCACCGTGATACACCAAAATATAACATAGCCAAACCCCTTCTCATCCCGAAACATATACAGACAACAAAAATAGGTAAATAAATTACATTAGATATATTAGATTATATTAATGGCAGCCTAGTTTCACTTTGATACGGATAAAGAGTTTGTATAAAAAATGGCTAATATGGGTCAATACCATGCATATTGATAAATTATTACCAGTTAAGGAGGTACTAAACTAAGTTAACCTTTCCTAACTAATCTGTTGAATGTACTTAAAAATAAAGAAAAATAAAAAAAAATCCAGAGGATGTTTCTTTCAGTTTTTTTTTTTATAATCATCTAATTACACATTCATTTTCCAAGCAAAAAATAAAAAGAACAATTTTAATATGAAGAAAAGTGTACAGAAACCAATACTAGGAGATGGAAAGATTGATATGAAATGTACTGAATAAATTATCATAAATCTAATTATTCTGTCTTTTATACCACCATCATCCAGTGATGAGGAACTTTGATAAACCACAGTAAATTAAAAGGAATTCAAAGTTGAAATATGTAAAGCAAACAAATCCCATCATCTGCCACAATCTGACTTCTTCCATTCCTTTCAGTTTATCAAATCTTGCCAAAGAGGAACAGGAAGCAGAGTGAGCTCCTATTCATAATAACTGTGTGAGTCATCCCTCATCATTTTGACTTATTACGCTCTGACAGGATATCATTCTGTATCTTTACTCAGGCCAATAATAATCTCATGTCACTCATAAATCTGACTGGAACAAATTGTAACGCAGTCGACTTCAATGAGCAGTGATGCAGTGATCAGAAATGATGGAATAAATGCTATATAGTGCATTACATGTTTTTATGATGGCAGCAGACTGTACCTAATGTGACAATACACAAAGGAGCTAGAAGTGTACAAGGAAACATTTTTTAAAAAGCACACACATCTTCAAAGAATCTAATTTGATCATTTCCTGAGTTATTAAATTGTACTATGGATTTAATTTCTGTTAAAAGCTTTTAAAACATTTTAATTGTTCTTCTGATATTTGAAAATCTATATATTTTAATCACATCTAGATTTAAATCTTCTGGATAGTCTTTAGAAATAAAGTTGCATCTTAAAGTAACACAGTGATTTAAAGATTGGTGTGCCATGTTTCTGTTAATTTTTTGCTAAGAGCAAATTAATAAGAAAACAAAAACAACAGTTTCTTAGAAAATTAGAACACATGATATTACATATCACCTTATTATGCCTTAAAAAACAATAGTGTACAGGACTACCATCATTACATCTGTCGAGCCAAGAGCCAGACACCTCCCTTAAGAGTTATCTTTCGATCTCTACAGCTAAAAGGAATGGCTGTAGAGTGCTGCATCCACACTTTATGGAAAATTGATCGAAAGGAAAACCTGCAGCTAAAAAAAGTACAAAACATGGATAACTGCAGATCTGAATGACAGAGACAATGTTACTGAATAGTTTGTGGAGATTCAAGAGGAAGGGATTGTGGCAGCAGCCAGTATTTTAAGAGTCACCATTCAGATGTATCCAGGACACAGACCAGAACCGTTTCAGCTTTTGTTTAAGTCACTCCAGAACTGAAAATCCGGAAACTGAATTAACAGCTAAGACAAAATACAAGTGTCCTGATGTCCAATGTAAAGTTTTTCACAGTTAGCAATAAATCAATAAGTTGTGGAGTTGTGTTTTATGCTAGAGTTGGCCATTATTTCCATAATTCTAAAGTAAATCCAGAAATCTTCAGGCCAACTTCAAAGCACTTAATTTTTCCCTATTTCCAAGTAGGCTGACTCTTAAGTTTCAAAACTCCCCTCTTTTATTGGTCTTATGTAGTATTCAAATGATTTGGCAAAATTTAAGTTTAGGCTTTTACAACCTGCAAGCAATAACTATCAAAACAGAAACACTTAAAATACAAATTAAAATACAAACCCTCCTTTCAACCTTTTCAATAATATTCTAACTTATTGAGTGCTCCACAGCTGTATTTACTTATATTTGTATATCCTGTAAACCATCTTAACCAAATACTGGAGTTGTTCATCTCAACGATTTCGGGTTTGGCGATATGTTCATATTTAGGTTTACTTACCTGGAAATTGCAGCTTGCATGGTCAGGTCCAGGGGGAACCTTTAATTGGAACACCTGCCCTACAATTGCAGATGAATCTGGGATGTTTGTGTGAACTCCACCATTCCTCACAGGAGAATCTGGGATAGATGTAGGTGGCCCCTCACCAACTGACGTTGCAGCAGCCTGGAGCTCAGACATCACAGAGGACTGCATAGAGGCCTCTAGTTCCACAGATATCATGTCCACCAGTGTTTCTTGCTGATCTGGCATGGCACCCTGAGCCAGGGTTGCCAGAAGCCATATTACAACAGGGATAGTTCTGCACAAAAGAAACCTGCTATTCCCTGCGTCCCCGCAGCTCATGTCTCTTGGTATATAGTGCATATCCATAGGCCTTTGGGCTGCACAGCAGATGTCTGTGAACAACTGAGAGGGCCACATGCACTGAAGTCACTTCAATGATATGCTTATGGGTCAGAATCTCTAGTGATTGGCTATGCTCACAAATTCAGCAGTTTCTCTTTCTTGTCCTCCATGATCCATGAAGATATCTTTGACAGCCTGTCAGATGTCCATGTCAGCCCACTGTGAGATACACACAGAAAAAGAAACAGTAAACATAGAGGATACTGAACATAGCCATAATACCATTAATGCAAAAATAGATGCGATTGATTTTTCACATGGTAATATCAAAAATGTGGACATTTCAACTGCTTTCCATCTTTTGCAGATCAAATATTTGGTCTCAGAAGAGAATATTATGTCATGTAAATTATCTTTTTTGTATGAAGAGATAGCATATCAGTATTTACAATTCTCTGTCAATTTTATGCTTTTCTCAAGGACAGGAGGAGTTTCACAACCAACAAAAGTTTCTTTGAAACAAAAAGTGCATTTTCCCAAGATACAAGTTGAGGCAAGAGTGATTAAACTAATGCGTTACCCTGGAAGAGCTATCCACTTTTTTTCCCACAAAAACCTGCCAGTAATGATCTCTAACGCAACATGTCTTTGTTAAAGCATACAGACCTGCATTGTTGTATTGATTAGAGCAGTGAGAGGGAAAATAATCTAGGTCAAAGGATTACTTAATTACAAATAAATGCACCTCAATAACAACTCAAATACATTATACAGAGACAAAATGGTCAAAAAAAAGGAGCTCCTTATATAACATGAAGCAATTGCAATCATTATTTGGTAGCATTGTTGGAAATAGATGGTGACCACAATCATAGGATCTTCAGCTTGATTAGTCTGGGCAGAAACTGAAATATCTGTTCTTCCTTCAATTAGCATATATAATTAGAGTATAGTTCATACTTGCTAAGAAGGACATATGCAGATAAGAGGACAGCACAACAAAGTAACCTGTCTGTTATGGAACATGGTGAAAAACAATTGCAGCTTTTATTAGACGTTTCGATAAAAGTAGGGCTGAAACAATTGGATT